ATTTTACGCTACACGTTGAAGTGTTCACAAAAAACTATTCAAAAGATCAATGTAAAAAGACGAGAAAATTAAATCAGACTACCGTGAATACGGCATGTGTGAAATCTTCCTTGTACTTCAATACGCGACTGAAACATTCGCGCCGTTTAAACGGTAACGGAGGCCGTGCAAATACAGTGGGAAGCCACGGCGACATCACGGCAAAACATTACCGTATACACGGTCGCGGTGCGTGTGAAACTAATGATAATACTCTGTATCCCTTTGCCGGTTATACGGTGCCATTTGGACGGTCACCGTGCATGTGTGTAACGAGCTATAGTGCCTTTTCAGACACACACGGTTTCCGTTTATACGGCGACCGCATACACGGATGTAATCGCTTCACACCTACAACGGTTTTCGTCCGGTTACCCATTGTGACATCAATAGCAGTGTCTTGCTGGTGTTCATATTGGCAGTATGGATAGAAAAAAAACTATAGCTTTATTGTTTTTGTACAGACGTCGCTTGCGTCGTAGTAAAAAAACATGGGAAAGAATATATTGGATTCATCCATATATTGCCAAAAGAAGGGCATTAAAGTACGGTTTCGTTGATGCGGCTCGAGCGGCTGCGGCTCGCGACTACGATTGGCTGCAGTCGCAGGCGCAATGTAGAGTGTTTTATTTTAGTGCGTCTCTAAATGAAAGCGATTGCGATTTAGATTGGTTTAAAAGATCTTGCTGTATGATGTGGAAGGTCTAAGTCGTAGAAAATGAATAATAGTGATCTGTTAAGTGTGATTCTCTTAGAAGAAGAGGAAGAAGATGAATGGCTACAACTGAAGTTATTAGAAAAACAAAGATGTGAAAAACACGATATATTCCAAAAACGTACAGAAGAAGGATTTTTTATTCTACTCATAAACGGACATTTAAAAGAGGACGAAAAAAAATTTAGAGAATTTTTCCGGTTAAATCCCGAGCAATTTGATTTTGTTCTGTCACTCATACAAGAGGATATAGAAAAGCCTGGAACGAATTGTGTAAAGTTTCCAATAACAGCAGAGGAAAAGCTGGCGCTAACTTTAAGGTAGGAAAGAAAAAAATTGAGCAAAAACAAAGATACAGTTAGAACACAAAATATATTATGAGCTTAGAATACAACATATCTAACCAAAACTAACTAATGTAACTAATTTAATTGCTGGTATCGTAGTTCGTATTCCGAGTTTTGCTCCGAGGCCATGAATCCAGAAACATTTGAAATTGATGAATTCTGTTGTTCTGGGTTATAGCTTTTAAAATATGAACCAGCAGTATTATCCGACTCAGTCGCAGCCAGATGAAAAGATCCATTCTGTAGTTTATATTGACTAGTACTAGCAGTAGTATGTGACGTAGTCTCAGTCAGATTGAAAGGTCCATTTAGTTGATATTGATTTGTACCCAAAGAATGTGAATTTGATCTATCGGCAGGTGAGGTTGGTTGTGAACTATGTGCTGGAGTTTGTTGAGATGAATTTTGTGTTGCTAATTTGAGCTGAAGATCGCTTACGAGTTTTAGGATACCAAGTTTTGCTTCATTCAGTTCAGCAGGTGGAAATTTTTTAACGGTGAAGCTAATGCTGTTCATGAACAAATCTACGTCATCTTCTGAATTTGAAATGTTTTTTTTGTGGATAGATTCAAGGAGCTCCATTCGCTTCTGAGCTCTCTCTTCAAATTGAGCCATTGTATTTAGTTTTGACACTCGGGGCTGCGATCTTTTCCCACAGTTTTGTTGAAAAGGATTCTTATTCAGCCCTTTATTCAATTTCATTGCGTCTGAAGTTCGACGAGATGTGGATGGGGTTGAATATTCGTCTAGTAAATCAGAATCGTCTAATGTTGATTGATCGGTTGGTTGGGTTTCGTAGTCCGTCTCGCTGTAAGCTGGAGTTTCCTCTTCTTCCGTCAAGGTATTTTTTGATTCTCGTTCATGCTTAATAACATCAAGAAAGGAAAGCCGATCGTAAAGGGTCCACTTTATTACTCGTTCAGATGCTGCTGAACCGGTCCCCAATTTACGTTTTTTTTCTGTTTCTAAAATAGGTATCCTTGATGTTTCTCCATCGCCTTTTGCAATCGTCACCTACGAAAAAAAAAACAAAACATACTTTTCAACTTACACCCTTTGAATTAGATTTAAGTCCAATTAAAGAATTTTTATTATATTGTTTTTCAAAAGATGTGCAACTCTGGAGATTGGTTATCTAAAAGAATTCAAAAATGCATTATTAGTTTTAAGGAGGGTACAATACGTTCTTCAATATTATTTTTGGGCAGGCAATCTCCAGACAGGCGTTATGATATTTTTTGGAAACATGACGTGTGTCCTAAGTCTCTATGTTGTTTTAGGTATATGGCAACTGGGGAGTCTTTCAGATCTCTTAGATTTGCTTTTAGAATCTCCCACAGTTACATAAGTGTAATCATCCGAGAAACTTTATCAGCAATATGTAAACAATTGGTGCCCATTTTTATTCCAACGCCAACAAAGGAAGCATTGACCAAAAAAGCTGAAGAATTTTGGGAACGATGGGATTTTCCGAACTGTATTGGAGCCTTGGATGGCAAGCATGTTAGAATATTTGCTCCAGCAAAATCTGGATCTTTATACTTTAATTATAAAGAATACTTTTCCATTGTTATGCTTGCTTTAGTTGATGCAAATTGTAAGTTTATTGCTTTAGATGTAGGGTCGTACGGAAAAGAAGGTGACAGCTCAATATTTAATAAATCGGCTTTTGGAAAAAAAGTAATGCACTTTCAGAATTTTTTTCCGGCAGATCAAAAATTGCCTAAATCAAATAAAGTATTGCCGCATGTAATTATCGGAGATGAGGCGTTTCGTTTGGATAAACACTTAATGAAACCGTTCACTAAATTGGCAGCCACTGCTGATAAATCAAAAGCCATTTTTAATTACCGTTTGAGTAGGGCAAGAAGAGTGAGTGAAAATGCTTTTGGTTTGCTATCTCAGGTGTTCAGAGTGTTTTATACTCCTATAGCTGTAAAACCAGAGGTATGTGATGACTTGATATTAGCCGCCTGTTGTTTACATAATTTATTGCGAGAAGCATATTTGGAAAGAAAAGGGGTTCCCTACTATGAATATGATTCAAAAGAAGAAAACTCGAATGTTTTTCGGAATCTTACAGGAGCGGGGGGATATCAAAACGTTGAAGGGTTCCATGTGAGAGATGAGTTTATGAGGTTTTTCTCACAGGAAGGGATTGTCGAATGGCAAAATCAGCAGGTTTCGAAAGTATAAGACAATCTGTACATGTCAGCAATCCATTATTATGATATTACAACCTTATACTGATTTCAATGTATATTGTTATTATAAACAGGGATCACAAGAAAAACCTAATAAAAAATGTTTACATGAAAATTTGTTTTTTTATAAAAATTCCTAGAATAAAATGAGTTTCAAAATAGAACAAATAAATACGCGGTACATGGTGTTCCCAACTAGAGTGTATTCAATTTCAATCAAAGTAGGACGTAAACAAGCGATATCGGATGCTTGCAGCATGCCGTGACGGCATGGCCATGTATTATTGGTTGGCAAGCAATAAATGCCCTCTATGCAGGAGGATCGAAATTTTTCAGGCCAAAATCCAAGCAACCATTTGTCTTTCCTCTCCCATATTCAATACGAGTGATAAAGGTAACTCAACCCCTTGGACAGCGCCAGTCTTTAATCGATCACCAGTCGCCGGTATTGCAGTTCCCGTGACTCGAACGTACATTATTTTGTTTACATCGAACTTTTATTGAATTTGAATAGACTATATATAAATTATTTGATGGCTATGACACTGAGCCAAAAAAGGAAAAACAAACGTTCATAATTAGAAAATAAAGTAAATTAATGTTACTTACTGCTTTTTCCTACCGAACATGCTATTTTTTTCCAGGCATTCTCTTTGCATATAAAATTTTTGTAGTTTTCATGCTCGTAATCAAAAATAGCTGGATATTTTTGAACCTCTTCAATCAATATATCATCCTCATTTGCATTGAATTTCTCCATTTTTACTGAATGACTGCGATTTGACTGGTCCAGGAGCAGTCGAGTCGCAACTGCTGCGGCTCGATCGTAGCGGTCTGCGACTGAACGGAGTCAACCAAACCGTATATGCATAAATTGTATAAAACCAGTGCCGCGACTGTAGTCGCAGTCGTTGCTGCGACTCAATCGCAGTCGCGAGCCGCACCAACGAAACCGTACCTTTAGGCGATTTTTATACGAAGTTTATGGATCTCCGAGAACATGAGGATAAGTTCTTCATCTACTTTCGAATGTCAATTAAATCATTGGATGAATTACATGAACGATTAAAACCATCATTACAAAAAAAGAACACGGCCATGAGGGATTGTATTGAGCCTATACAAATGTTGTGCGTCACGCTTAGGTGAGTAAATAAAGTTAAATATATATTTTGTAAATTCTGTTTAATTACATGTACTAACAAACTGAAAAATATTAACTCATTTCAAATAACAGTTTTAATAATAACGGTATAATCGACAACTATGTGAAATCTAAATCCGCGTACACAGAATCCTGTGTAGAAGCACTATCAACTGAAGATAGATTTTCCGCTGTGGGGTTGTATTGTTCAAAATATTCACGTGCGTTTGCCTCATGGGGATAATTTGTTGTAGTATATGCGGGCATGTTTCTGTTAATACAGATTCCTGAAGGAGTCGCAGGTGGCTCTTTTGGCAATGACAAAGTAGAACGGTGAACATGTTCTGTACTATTTTGTCGATTAATATAGTTGTCATATACAGAAGTTCCGGCACATGGATGTGGCTGGTTTGATTGAAACCGCCTCTGCTTGATATTGGTAATTAATTGTAAAACGCCAGTCTGAAATTGTAAAGTTTCATCGTCTGTGAAGGTATGTAACGATGGGACGATACCTTTAAAAAATGAAATATGACCATCTTCTGGCTGTTCTAAAGCTCTAAAGGAGATGCTTTAAGCTGGGTATTATTATTATTTTCAGTCTCAGTTTCTGAAACATCGGCGTCGGAAGTTGCTTGGACGGGATTGGCAGATAAACTATCTTCAGTTGATCTATGCGTAAATATTTTGGTTAGAAACTTCAGTTGTTCAGCATAAATGTATTTGCTTAAAGTTGAGGTACCAGAACCAGACTTTTTGAACGATTTTTCTTTCTTCAAAAACTTGTTAAATGCATCCCGAATGTTGACCCACCTCTTTACAACCTCTTTACCTGTAAATACAAAAATAAATAATAGAAACTTTCTCTTTCTAGGTATTTGGCGAGTGGATGTACATTTACTGACTTGCACCTTCAGTATAGACTTGGCATTTCAACCATCAGCGGTATTGTTAAAGACGTTTGTTCTACTATATGGTGTTTAATGTTGGGAGAGTGCATACCTCCACATACTAAAGATAAATGGGAATTGATTTCAACAGAATTCGAAACACGAGCCAATTTTCCTCATTGTATAGGGGCAGTCGAGGGAAAACATATTAGAATCAGTAATCCCTTAGGTTCCATGTATTATAACTACAAAGGTTATTCGTCTGTAGTTTTAATGGCTGTTGCTGACGCAAATTATCGCTTTGTGTATGTAGACATTGGGAGTTACGGAAAAGATTGCGACTCATCGATATTTAAAAGATCATCTCTTTGGACATCAATTATTAATAATGATCACGAAATACCTATTGAAAAAACTGTTACTGGAATAGAAAATTGCAAATTACCTTATTATTTCGTTGGGGACGAAGCATTTGCCCTCCACCAGCATTTACTTCGTCCATTTGGGGGATCTCAACTTACAATAAAAAAAAGAATTTTTAATTATCGTCTAAGTAGGGCTCGGAGGTATGTGGAATGCACATTTGGACTTTTAAGTAACAAGTGGAGGATATTGCACAGAGAGATAAACCTGGAACCTGACTTTGCAGTAATCATAGTTAAGGCATGTGTCGTTTTGCATAATTTTGTGCGCGACAGAGATGGATACCAGGTTAAGGATACAGATGTAATTGTAGGCCTTGATGAACTACCAAGAGAGCGGGAAACACGTGGAGGATTACCAGCAAATAACGTGCGAAATATTTTGAGTGATTATTTTATGTCAAATGTAGGAGCTTTACCTTGGCAAATGTTAAAAATATAGAAAATATGTGAACTTACCATATTTATTTTTTTCTTCCTCACTATAAACATGGAAATCGCTGTTCATTTCTATACAGACTTCTTTCCACGCTTCCTTCGTCTCATTTCTGTTCTTATACAGGGTGACTTTGAAGTTGAGTCATTAATTTTCAGATAATAATTGTAGAAGGAAGATAAACCAAAATATGTGTGTAAAAATAAAAAAAAAATTAAAAAAAAATGTTTACCTTGTTTTATAAAGTATCCTCCCGACAAGTATTTCAGTGCGGACCTGTATTTGATCGTGAGGTCCCCTGTGAGGTCTTAAGTCACCTGATTCACGAGCCCATTGTACTACATTAACAAAGGCACGTGGGGTTGGTTGCACTCGATTGGGAAACCGATCCGCATAAACATGTGCCATTTTTTATTTCGTTTGAGCCACGCAACAGATACCACTATTCACTGACACTGACTGTATACAAATGAATGAAATAATTGTAAAAACATCGTTCCAAATTCTTTCGCTTTTTTGTTTCCGATGCGATGAACCGATACGGCGGATTATATCCGTTGTCGCCAAACACGAGCACATATATTATTATTGAGACAGGGCGGTACTCAAACTCAATTTTACCAGAAAAATGGTAAAGGAAAAAAACATTTATTTTGATCAGATCTACTCACTGTTAAAATAAATGGCTCAACTTCGAAGTCACCCTGTATATTGGTGATGTTTTATCCCATAATAAAGGACGAGCTTCTATCAAAGCAATTAATAACTCAGTATCTAGTTCTTTTGACATTATATTTTATATTAAATAAATACGTATACACGCCGCTGTTTAAACAGGAGCCTATACGACCGTGTGTATGTGAACGAATATCTACTAGCTCTACGGCCGCCGTGAAGGAACCGCGACCGTGTCGACTAGCACGGCCGCACTACGGTAACGGCACGGTCACGGCGACATCTGAAAGCGCTCATTCAAATACATGTATTACTAGAACCGTCACGGAACCGTTTATACGGAAACCGGGTGTGTCTGAAAAGGCACTTACTATACTTGAATCCATTTCAAGTGAGACCAGACACAACAACCAGCACGCGTCGCTGGCATGATGGTCGTAGACACAAGAACCGAGCAGGGTCGGACTCAAAACTATGGAAATATTAAGGTGAATTTCAGAACTAAATATTTGAAAAAGCGAAATCAGTAAATAATAACACAACACTACTGTCACAGAGTCAATAGAGGTGATTGAAAGTTAAGTGGGGCACAAAAAGTAATTATACATATGTGTTTGACAACATCAATATTTTTCACTTTCACTAGAAGAGCTGTCATCATAGATGTTGATAATTAGCGGTTCAATATGCCTTTCAATTATGTTGTCTAGCTCCCACATTGCAACCTCCACTTTCTCCTGAACATGCTTCACACGTTTTAACCAATTTTCTGGTGTGATTCTCTGCAACGCAAGGTTGAACAGCTCTTTCATGTCGGAAAACTTGAATGTTGTGTTGTGTTCAGCAACAAAAGTCTTTATATCTGCCCGTATGAGCTCAATGGGGTTGAGCTCACAGTGGTAAGGAGGCAAACGAAGTGCCATTTTATTGTGCGCTTTTGCCATCTCGTCCACTATATATTTATCATATTTTGCTCTGTGTTGTTTCACAAGATCTAGAAGTTGTAATTTCAACATAAACGTATCAAAAGGTATATTTTTTGCACGTAGCCAGTCCTGTATCTCTGATTTCTTAAAAGATGAATTTGGAATTTTTTCTAATTTCCGAGAATGATACGGAGCATTATCCAGGACCACCACAGAATTGTCTTTAAGACGTGGTAAAATGCCTAAAAACCAGTTTTCGAATGCTTCACCATTCATCTCTTCGTGGTAGTCAGTGTTTTTTTTTTATTCAAAACACCATAGTCCTTCCTCCACGAAGCCATCTACACTTCCGATGTGGCAAATAATGAGCCTTTTTCCTTTGCCTATAAAGATAAAACTTGTTAAATACGGATGTACATTATATGTCTTTCACAAGAGTACTGAGGCCACGGAGATAGGGACACATTTCTGTATTTTATATACGATGCTATATTGTTTCTCATGATAGCGGGATGCATGCGGTTAGATATATCGGACACTTCAACCAATGCATCATTTAATCTGTTGATGAATCTGGTTAGCTTAAAAAACAAAAAGAAACAGGCAACATCAATTAAACTAAAAAATTATCAAGTGTGACAAACTTATCGAAAAATTTACAAATCAACGCAATGTCTGACGTTGTTAATTAACGTGTTACATTCCGTGACGGACGAGGTATGTTGTCTCTGCAACGCTCGCATTGCTGTAAAAAATCTTGTCATCGATACCATGAGAATTCCAACGTAGAATACATTGATTTCCAGAGTGAACATCCCCTCGTTTTTTCTAGATATCTGATAACGTGTAACCTCATTTAAATCACTTTGGCTATGAAAAATTATCTAATAACTATTGTTGGATTTTCTAAAATGGAATGTCTGCATTACCTGTAGGATTTTTAAGCCCAGTTGAAAGCCCATCTAAAAACGCTCTTCTTGCTGACGTTACTGTTTGGTCCACCCAAACTTTTGATTTTGTATGGCCAGCATTTATCCACGTCTCGTCCAGGAAGTAAATTCTACGGTTTTGGCTCCTGTATGTTTTTATTTTTGTCAAATACTCTCTCCTCCATAGTATAATTTCATCCCTATCCATCAATTGAACTGTTTCGGCCTCTCTTCTGCCAATTGAAGTTGAGTTCCTTTAATAGCCTGTAGAACGTCGTTTTACTAAAATTCGGCAAATCTGAGTCTTCATTCACTACTTTCAAAATCTTATCAATTGTAGGAATTTCATTCTGGAAAAAGAATTCATGAACCTTCCTTCTGATCGCATGTCTGTCAGCATCATCTATTTCTTTAATTTGGCTTTTACGGTTCTGATTCGTTTTAGGTTCAGCAAATGCATTCCGTAATTTATATTCTTTGAGTACTCTAAATACCGATGCACCAGAAACTCCAACTTTATTCGCCACCCTCTGCACAACATCGTTGACGCTGAGCTCAGGTTTTTCCTCCGTTTCATATTTGTAAACATTTAGAATAATTTCTTTCATTTCGATACTCAAATGGTTTTGTCTTGATCGTTTCCTGGGTGGACTCAATGTAGTTTCTCCCTTCATCAGCTGTGACGGTAGAAGACATGGTCAAAAAACACCAGATATAACAGAACTTATAACAGCGATGCACTCGACGCCACGCCACGGCCTGATTACAACTCTGGTTTTTGTAGACATCAACGCGGCGCAACGGCGGGTTTTGTATTGCTACAGTCTAACTAGGTCTTAAAAAATGTTCAAAACTGCATGTTTTCCAAATTCATGGAGTTTTATATTGGAGCCACTTCAGGACATTGTATTTAACAAAAGCATCAATATGAGGGGCGGAAAGTTTAAAAAAAGAAAAATAAAAGCTACGAAATGAAACTATTAGTTGAAAAAGCAAGCGCTTCAAACTACAACTTCAAACCGTAAAATGCCTAAACTATAATGAGACCCTCGATCACGCGCTGATCACGCTTCGAGTTTACGATGTTGTGGTCTCACTTGGGCTGAATTTTAGTATAAATTCTCTATTTTTCCGCAAAAATGGCCTACTTTTATCGGAAATAGTCTACCTAAATGTTTGCTTTTATGCTCCATGTACACATAATAAGGACCTTTATCAGTTGATAAATATCTATTGCTAAGATCATACCTGAAATCGTTTTCATTTGATTTATTTAATGATAAATCCGGTGCATTGTTGGTGGCTGAGTCTGCTATTTGGGGCGGCTCATAGCCGCCCGATTCTTCATCCATAGAATTTGTTTTTTATTTCAATATTACGAAAAACCTTAAACAAATACCAGGAAACTAACACAAACAACACCAAATAATAAGTCTCCAAAAGAAAAACACTTCCGCTTATCAGTAGCACTCGTATGTCGACCGATCGTCTTGAGCGTACGTAAAGACGCCTACAGACACACGAACATTCCTTGAGATATGTATGCGCGTACAAGTACGCGCGTACATATACGTTTTATTCGAATTGCATACACACGTAAAGAACATTTACTGTCCAGCTTGCTAATAAACATGGCGACAGTAAGTGATATTGATTTAAATTTATTAGCAGTGGCGTGCGTGTGTATAGTCAAGAAAAAACAAAACCGATTAATGAATACACGCAGGCCACGAAGTAAATGGGTAAAGAAATGGTTGTTGCAGCGTGATCGATTCTCACACGTAAATCTACTGGAAGAACTTCGTTTAGAACCGGTTGATTATCGAAATTATCTCCGCATGGATGAGGATAGCTATGTATTACTTTTAAATTTAGTAACGCCACTGATCCAGAAACAAGACACGTGCATGAGGTCTGCCATATCACCTCATGAAAGACTATCTGTTACCCTTCGTTACCTAGCTACTGGCAGGAACTATGAAGATTTAAAATTTTCTAGTATCATCTCACCTCAATCGCTAAGTAAAATAATTCCGGAGACCTGCAATGCTATTTATGAGGTATTAACGGATGAGTATCTAAAGGTATGCACTACTAAATAAAATAATACGTTATTATTAGGTGGCTCATGAGTCGATCTAAAAAAGCAATGATATAGCTTTCTCTATCTTTTGAATAGGCTTTATTTGGTCTCGATTTCGCGAGCCCCCATTTAATGTTACTTTAAGGATGTTAATTTTTATTAATTAACTAAACATAAACATGATAAGTATTTAAAGTTAACATAAAAGTTTGAGAAAAAAAGGAAAAATATATTCAAAGCCAAAACTGTCTTAAATATTAGTTTGGTTGAAAGTTAGTTAGAAAACTGGCAAGGTTATCTGTTTCGCACACATCGTTGTCAAGTGGCTGAACAGTAGGTACCTGTTTTATTGGTTGCATTTCTTGTGGTTTTTGAAATGAACAGGTATGAAATGAATTTTGTGACACATGTTGCTGGGGAGGCGCAAACTGCGATGGATAGGTATAATGCTGAGGATAATAAAGAGTAGCGGAACCGTCTCTGTTTAAAGTAACTTGGTAATTATTTTCTGCTGAATCGAGGAGCGAAACAATTTTTGTTGCTTTGGTAACACGACCCATTTCTGCTTCAAACAATAGGTCATTGATGAGCTTTTCCGTGTATAACTTTGTTTCTCTTGGATTAGTTCTCAATTTTGCTGCAACATTATTTCCGAAACTGGTGCATTGATCTTCAATACTGCACTTCAGCCTTTCTAAAACAAGAGCAAGAACTTCGTCTGCCTGGGCATCTGCTTTAGCTCTACGTTTCTTTGTAGAGTGACTTGTAGGTGGAATTAACGATTTGTTTCCATGGGTGCCAGACCTATTACTTAATAGGCTCTGTACCGAACTACTAAATTCTTCAGTATCGTGTTCTGCTCCGTGAGTTCCATAACTAGTACTTGGTCGGGCATCCAATGAGCTTTGTAATGAACTACCACATCCTTCACTTTCAGATTGTGATGCATTCCCAATTTCCTAAAATAAAAATGTAATAAATTGCTTGAAGTTTTTTGAAACTTTAAGGATAACATTTTCGAATTAAAACTCAGTTGTCAGTGTGTCAACCTTCTAAATAAAGAAAAACAATTTTCCTAAATATTGCATATTGTAATGTGCCCATACAGGCAACCAGAGTAGCAACCTGCTGCACATAAGGGTTCTCAAACTCGACCAAACAGAATGACAAAAGACTGTAAATTAATTTAAATATTTTTGCAGTTTCCTACAACAGACGATGAATGGAATACAATTGCTGATGATTTTGAAACGAAATGTAACTTCCCAAACTGCGTGGGAGCCGTTGACGGCAAACATGTTAATATACTCCCCCCTGCTGGAAGTGGTTCTTACTTCTATAACTACAAAGGAGGACATAGTTTAGTGCTCATGGCTATAGTCAACGCAAATTATGAGTTCATTATGGTTGATTTTGGAGTAAATGGTCGAATATCTGATATAGGTGTTATTGACCACACTACATTTTATCAGAAACTAAAAAATGGGAATTCATATTTACCGCCTCAAAGAAAACCTAGAGGCAGTAAAGCTATAATGCTATTCGTTTTCATAGGTGACGAAGCATTTTCCTTGCGCTGCGACTTCTGTAAAACCATTTGGTCAGAAAGAACTTAATCATGACCTAACAATTTTTAATTATCGGCTTTTACGAGCAAGATGTAGAGTTGAAAATGCTTTTGGCATACTGAGTGCGCATTTTAGAATATTTCAAGGAGCGATTTCCATTAGTTTAGAAGGTATTGAAAAAGCAGTCATGGCCGCCTGTGTTTTACATAATTATTTAAGACGAAAATGTGGAACTGCATATGTACCAGAAGATAACGTTTACAGTGAAAATATACAAGATGGCACAATAGATTAGGATTAGAAAGCACTGGAATGACAAGACTGCAGCGCGGTTACAATCGAGGGAGTAACAATGAAGCAAAACAAGTTAGACTACTGTTTACGAGTTATTTCTGTCATGAGGGTGCTCTGAGCTGGCAAGATAAAATGATACAGTAATAGTCACAACAGACAACAAAACCCTGTAGAAAACTTAAAGCTTCTTATTCATAAAACATTACAGTACCTAAATGGATAATTTTTTACTTACCTCTCCTTGATCTGAATCAAACTGTTCACCACGTTCTCGTATGGTACGTTTGATACAGATGATCTGGGTATCTCTTGATCTTTTAAGAAAAGCAACAAATTGTAATACCATAAATGTGGTATATATATGTCATCCTGCCCAGCTCCTGACCTTTTGGACTCTGCAATTTTTTTTATTTCTCTGCGAAACCCAGCACGCATACTTTTCAACCAATATTTTGTACACATCGTTTTTTTTTATTTCTATTCATGTAGTCCTTGGATTTAGTTTTCCATAAACAGGGGTAAGATTTATAAAGTTCTATGAATTCTATTAAAAACTCTTTTGAATAGTTTCTGCTATCAGCCATTATTAAACACAGTTAACACCTGAAGATGGTTAACGCGAACCGCACTGGTATTATTCCTGATACGTATATTCGTTCTGCCTACACACAGAGAGATATGTACGTGCAACCTGTACGCGCGTACAAATATTCAAGCAGCGACTGAAGATATCTTCGACGGATATTTTAAGGGGCCTACAGACACACGAACATGTATTAAGGCATGAACGCACGGCGATGTTTGCGCAGTGATACCCGTCGATCTACTTTTAGCTCCACACATAGAGACTTGTGTGTCAGTTTTCTCCACGTCGATGTTGTAGTTTGTCGCCATGTCTAGCGATGATGAGCTAAACTTACTAGCAGTGGCGTGCGTTTGTATTGTGAAAAAAAGAAAACATCAATTGAAAAAGAGACGTCAGTCACGAAGAAAATGGGTTAAAGATTGGCTTTTGAAGCGGGATCAATATTCTCACATCAATTTACTTGAAGAGCTACGATTAGAACCTGATGATTGGCGAAACTACCTCCGGATGGATGAAGATAGTTATATAAAACTCCTAGAGATGGTTACGCCACTTATTCAAAAACAGGACACACCGATGAGACCCGCTATATCGGTACATGAAAGACTGTCGGCCACATTGAGGTATTTGGCCACTGGGAGGAATTATGAAGATTTAAAATTTTCTACCCTGATTTCTCCACAGTCATTGTGCAACATAATTCCAGAGACATGCAGCGCTATTTATGAAGTACTGAAGAAAGACTATATGAAGGTGGGTACAGAGTATATTACTTAGTAGTAAAATAAACAAAATAAACACAAACACAAACTCTCAAGTATTCTATTTTAGTTGTATACATACAACGCTAATCTAATAGAACTCTTATATGTAAATATAAACTGGACCTTAAATGTTAGCATCACTTAGAGGATTATATGATCCAAAATAAGCTGAAACTGTGGAGCTACCCTCGTTGATTTATTGAGGATGGCTTTGATGGCACTGGGGCTTAAGTGGCAAAGCGGGTAGCAAATAAGTTTGTGCTTGATTTTGTGTGCCTGATATATTTATAGGTTGAGTTGAATTGTAGTTATATTGATTAGGGTAGCAAGCTTAAACAACGCTATTACTGGAAAAAGTTTTGATTCTGTTCAATGTCTCCTGACGAAACAATCCTAGTATTTCTAGACACGTTACCCATTTCAGCCTCAAACAGCAAATCATTTATGAGTTTCTCAGTATATAATCTGGTTTCTTTTGGGAGTCCTTTCAATTTTGCTGCGACATTTTTCCCAAAAATGGCGAATTGATCAGCATTCTTGGAACGTAGTCTTTCTCCTACCGCCGCCAACACGTTGTCTGCTTCTTGGTTATCAGAGTTTGTTTTGCGTTTCTTTTTTCCCCGATTTCCAGCTGCAGGCAGCGGTACAATGTTTTCTGAATTGGAAATTGGACGTACATTTTGACTACTACAAGGTCTGGATATTGGTGGACTTGGTACTGAGCTCAGCTCACTCTCTTGACTTTCATTTACATCATATCTAGTTTTCTGCAAAAAAATATATATTTTTGATTTTTTTCAGTTCCCAACGACCGAGAATGAATGGAGAAATATTGCGGACGACTTCGAAAAGAGATGCAACTTTCCGAACTGCCTGGGGGCGGTAGATGGAAAACATGTCAATATAAAACCGCCCACCGGAAGTGGTTCATATTTTTATAACTATACAGAAGCACACATCCTAGTGCTCTTGGCAGTGGTCACCGCAAATTACGAGTTCATTGTGTGTGATTTCGGTATCAACGGCCGCATATCTGCTGGAGGAGTTATTGAGTACAGCCAGTTTTACCGGAAGCTTAAAGATAGGAAACTCTCCATACCACCTCCAACAAGAACAATGAACAGTAAAGAAGCATTGCCATTTGTTTTTATAGGTGATGAAGCGTTTGCACTCCGCTGTGATTTCTTGAAACCATTTAGCCAGAGAGACTTGGATCATGATAAGAAAATTTTCAATTATCGTTTCTCAAGGGCAAGATGTAGAGTAGAGAATGCTTTCGGTATACTCTCTGCTCGATTTAGAATATTCCACACAGCTATATCTATTAACTTAAAAGCAAATGACAAAGTAGTGATGGCATGTTGTGTTCTGCATAATTTTCTGAGAAGAAGAACTGCCACTGTGTATGCACCTGATAACAACTTATACAGGGAGAACCATGAAGATGGCACTGTGGAATTAGGCTTGCAACCCAATCAGATGACTAGTTTGCAACGGGGTTACAATAGAAGAGCAAACAAGGATGCACAAGAAGTTAGACAGTTATTTCTGAACTACTTCAATAATGAGGGATCCGTAGCTTGGCAGGAAAGAATGATTTGCTAATTTATGTATTATACTTTCTAAGTACTTAAGTTGAAGTAAAGCGAATCAGAATATCAAGGCGATTTTTTATTACCCTCTATATTAATATGTGTACTACTTCATTATTTCTTACATGAAATCAAAAAATGGCATCAAGTAGGTTGACTCCGCACTTCCCACGCATTGATTTTATCGGTTCAAGCATATCCATGTTCGGCTAGCCCCTCTTATTTTTTTATATATATATGTGTTATATATTATATACCATCCATAAAATATAATACCTCATTTTCGAAATTTTTCGCGATTACAATACTTCCTCTGTTCCTCTCCAGTTGGCGTGGGAAGTAAAAGTCAAATAAATAAATCAGGCCTTACCTCCAGTTCTAGAGCGTCTTCATTTTCCATTTCTGAATGGCAACAGTCCATTTCACTTTCGCTTCCAACATCTTCAATATTACTAATGGATTGTCTAGGGATTTCCTGATCCTTTATAAATAAAAGTAGATCATAATACCATAAATGTGGTATATAAACATCATCTGCTGCAGCACCCGATCTTCTCGACTCTTTAATTTTTCTTAGTTCTCTCCGAAAACTAGCTCGGAGGCTATTAATTTTAGTTTTAACCATTTCTTTGTTGGCATTCTTCTCAACTTCTTGGAGCTTCAGCACCAACACTTTATATGCTTCGTTTTTTTTATTGCGATCCATATAGTCTTTTGATTTTACTCGCCACAAACATGGATAGGATTTGTATAGTTCTATGAACTCTGTTATAAACTCTTTGGAAAACTTCTCAAATCTGCCATATTGACAAATTCAAAACTAAATGAACTTCTAAGTTGACCCCCCTGCTCCTAACAACAGAATACACGAATGCAGTCGCGCCACTGAATTAAGTCTGTGAAAATTAGTACGTTTTGTCTACACACAGGCATACATACACGCGCGTACAAGTCTGTGCAGGCATAAATTCAAGCGAAAACAGAAAGCATGTGCGTCGGTCTTTTAACGAGAGATTTGACTACAGACTGGCGAACATCAGCGCGCAAACGTCGACGTGCGTTCATGTCTTAATACATGTTCGTGTATCTGTAGGCCCCTTTAGAGAGATTTTGTCTACACACCGGCGGATATGTACGCGCATACTTGTACGCGCATACATATATCAAGGAATGTTCATGTGTCTGTAGGCGCCTTAACGGAATGTTGGGGAAATTTATTAGGACGTGGATGTCTACATGAACGCGCAACCAAAAACGTGTACATCGCTAGCCTACAGACGTTAGTACAAAACTATCAGTGTTCTGGCAAGTGACCTGCAAAGTGAGCGATGTTGTGCGAGGAGGAATATTTGGGTATAGCAGCAGTGGCGTGTGCCTATATACTAAAGAAAAAAGAAAAGAAAAAGCGTCGACATTAGTCTAGAAATTGGCTTTTAAAACGGCAAACTTTTTCCCATATTAATCTTCTAGAAGAATTGAAATTAGAACCTGACGACTGGCGCAATTACCTTAGGATGGACGAAGAAACTTATGTGGAAGTTTTGAACATGGTTACTCCATTAATAAAACGCCAAGATACAATGATGAGAACCGCAATATCTCCACACGAACGACTAAGTGCAACGCTAAGGTATTTAGCAACTGGAAGAAATTACCAAGACCTAAAATTTACTACAGTAATATCTGCACAAGCCTTCAGCGAAATAATTCCCGAAACATGTCAAGCAATCTACCAATTTTTACACAAAAAATACATGAAGGTAAGGTTTGATTTTTATTTAGAAAGCTAGTTTTTTACAAAGTAACGTAATCTAATTATATAACACAAGTAGAGGGAACTTAAAATATTATCCATTATTTTATGAAAAACGTTATAATTAAGAAAAATCTGTAGGATTTTAAGAGGAGTGATAATTTGTAGTGGACAAATTTTCTATTCTAGTATTAGGTGCTGATACGGTGTTTTGTGCAATCTGATAATCATCAGAGACTAATCCGGAGCAAATATTGGGTGTTGATTGTTCCCATACTCGACTTAACTGGAATGTTCGGTTTGGTGGTGTCGCCTGTATAAGTTTTTCTGGTTCTGAAATTATTCTCGTATGTTCAGTAACCTTCCCTAATTCTGCTTGGAACAATAGGTCATTAATTAATTTTTCTGTGTAAATTCTTGTTGTTATGGGCAATCTTCGCAGTTTTACAGCAACGTTCTTTCCTATCAGGGAAAACTCATCCTCAGGGTTAGCGAGTTTTGCGTGGACAACATTTAATATTTCATCTGCTTTGTTTGCTTGATCCTGTGATTTTTTCAACTTAAGCTTAGCTCTTTTATTTAATGAAGGAGTAATCGAATGGCTTTGCAATGACGAAGATTGGGTGTTATCAATAAGAACTGCAGAAGGAGTCGTAGGTGAATGGACACTATTTCCAGATTCGTTCTCAGTACTGTCAATATTAAGATTTCTAGGATTATCTTCTTGCTTTAACAAAAAAAAATATTTAGTTTAATTAATACTGTGTAATATATTACGTTATCAACCAACTACAGCCATTTTTTTAAATGTCAACTAATGAAAGGTCCACTATACGGATCAAAATTAAAATTGTTTATTCCTATCTTGAGGCCATATTACGTTACTTTTTTTTAGCCAAAAATGGATAATTTTTTGTAACCTATTTTTTATCAAAATGCCAATCTACTCATTCCAAATAGCTGTGACCAAAATCTCATAAATATAAAGAGTTACGACAACTTAAATACACACACATACACACTTTTTTGTTAATTGTAACAATAGACCACTATCAGATAAACAAAATAGCACATAAAATTTACTAAAAGTAACGGAGTTACAATAGACTTTACATGCAGTCAACAAATATTTTTTTAATTGGTTGCAATTGGTTAATAACTTAAAATTTTACAGGGGTGATTTTTATTTATATCCTTATTTCCAGTTTCCCACAACAGAAGCAGAATGGAGAAGTATTGCTCGAGTCTTTGAAGCCCGTTGCAACATTCCAAATTGTATAGGGGCGGTGGATGGCAAACATGTAAATTTAATACCGCCACCAAATAGCGGAGCATATTATTATAACTACAAAGGCTACTATAGCTTAGTATTGATGGCCATATATGACGCAAATTGTGAATTCATAATGTGTGATTTTGGTGTGAATGGACGAATATCAGATGGAGGGGTTATTGCATACACTCAGTTTTACAAAAAACTTAAAAGTGGAAGTCTACGGCTGCCACAGCCCTCAAATCCACAAAATAGTCAAAGAGAACTGCCGTTCGTGTTCATTGGTGATGAGGCTTTTGCATTACGTGCAGATTTTTTAAAACCTTATAGTCAGAGAGATCTGGATCATGACAGAAAAATTTTCAGTTACCGATTATCTCGAGGAAGAAGCAAAATAGAGAATTCATTTGGAATATTGTCTGCAAGATTTCAAGTATTTCAAACTGCTATTCGGTTACACTTAGAATCAATAGACAAAGTGGTAATGGTTTGCTACGTTCTTCATAATTTTTTAAGACGTAAGTGTGGCAAGTCATATACACCCCCAGAGTGTTTTGACCAAGAAAACATAATGGACGGTACTGTACAAGTAGGACTTAGACCAAATTCAAATCTTTTCGCCGGTCTGCATGGTGGCTATGGTAGAAACTTTACCAGAGAAGAAAATCAAGTGCGACAATTATTTACTCAGTACTTTAATCAAGAAGGTGCTGTTTCTTGGCAAGAACGAATGATACATTAGTATTTGAGCGAATTTAAAATAGTTAAATAAATAAAAATGAATAGATAAATATGCATTTTTTGTAACTTACCTCTTTCTCAGTCTCAGCAAAGCTTCCAGTTTCCTCGTTATATGTTTCAAAAAGCTCTGAGTCGTGCATATCATTATCACCAGGAACGTTCAAAGTGGACTGTCTTGGTATGTCCTGGTCTCGAAGAAACAGAAGTAAGTCGTAGTACCATAACGAAGGTATGTATATATCATCTGAACCTGAACCATTTCTTTTCGAGTTAACAACTTTTTTATACTCCCTTCGAAAACCACCACGAAGACTATTAATTTTAGTTACCACAGTATTTTTTGTTGCATCGGGTTGAATAGTTTGCAGTTTTTTCACCAATATCTTATAGGCTTCATTCTTTTTATCTCTATCCAAATATTCTTTTGATTTTGTCTGCCACAGGCAAGGTAGTTCTTTGTAGATTCCAATAAATTCCTGCACAAATGCACGGGACATTGTTCTGCAGTCAGACATCTTAATTTACTCGTGTCTTAAACTTTGACTCCCTTGATACAACAAATTTACTACGCTACTGATAAAACACGCAAATACATATAAGTTTTTGCCTCCACACGCAGCTTCAACCTGAACGCGCATACAAAATTTCTAGCGATTACAGAATTCATCAGCGCGTCGTTCCACTGTTTGCACGTTCAAACACGCAATGCAATTTTGCATACACATTGACGGTTTTGGTTGCGCGTTCATGTATGTACGTACATGTCTTCATACATCCACGTCCGTGTGTAGGGGCCTATTGGAGGAGATTGGACTTTGCGTTTTTTATTGGAACTAGTGAGTGTAGATGTTCGGTTAGATATATGTGAAGAAGTGTTGCTTGAGGATGACTGGGCAAAGAGGGAAAATTTGATTCGCTCATGGTGTGTAGGCTTTCAAACTTGTTAGAGGTTGCTACGTGACTTGAGTAAGAGTTTTCAGTCAATTCCTTGGCTTCTATGAAAGTCATGTTAGACAATGCCATAGTTTTTTTGATTTTTTGTTGTGTCTGAAAGGAAAGGCAGTCCTTTGAGGTGGATCGGTGGTTGGAATTCTTACAGTATAGGCAATATGTCTTACTGTCATCACAGTTATGGCCTTCTTCTTTTATTTGACGACATCCGACACATCGGGTGTGGGTGCTACGACACTGACCAGAAACGTGTCCAAAGCGCAAACATTTGTAGCATTGAATAACTCTTTGGAAAAATGGCTCAACTTGAAATAATACGCTATTAATACTTATTTCGTTTGGTAATAAATTACCGTCAAGCGTTACGACAGCCATTTGCCTCGCGACAAATTCCTGTACGCCATTGTTGTTTATCCTTCTTTTTAATCTTTTTATATCCAATACACTGATTTTTGATGTTATGTTATCCTTCAGGTATTCCTCGGTAAACTAAGTGTCTACTCCTTTAATCAAACCCTTTCTTATGAGCAAATTACTTGGAATGTAAGCCTTTAGATTTTCAGATTTAAGCGCATTACTGCAAACTAGATCATTAGCATCCTCAAAATTCCTGAGCCCTACTTTGATTCGATTTAATCCTGCGCGACTTATAGTTGTTATTTTACTGCTCATATTGAGTTTTTTATGTAATAAATGTCCCACAAACCATGGATTTACTCTACCTATATTCTGATCGTTTGTCTTTTCTATAAATACGTAAATATCTTTATTGGAATAATACTTAGCATTTTCCTTTTTGAATAGTAGTGGCTGTGTGTTTACAGCACCGGCATCCGAATTACCAGGTACAGGCGATTTATTCCCATTCTTGGTGGCATTGTTTTCATCGTGTTCCATTTGCAGGTCATCACTATACGTTAGGTCATAAATTGCAATATTTGTACCGTTTCCGGTTGATGGAGGGCCTCTCACCCCCGTGGGAGGTGGTGGCATGATAATGATTACGTCTTTTGTTCGCTGCTTCTCACGTTTCACCCGTAAATTAATCGCTACGAGATACACGTCTGTCTTCGTAGACGGCCGAAGCAATACTGGCCCCCGGGGTTGAAAGCTCCAGCTTTCAATGGGAAGAGGACAAATCTTGTGTATTGATCGAGATAGCTCGCCGTCAGCTGTGCGTACTAGCACAACCCGAGGAATGCCGTCATTCCCTGGTATCAGCTTCAGCACCCGCCCAAGGCGCCATTTCTTGGGAGGAAGATTATCTTCTTTAACTAGGACTAGTTGCCCTATGGTCAGCTCGCCACAGGACTTGCGCCGTCTGCTCCGTTGATGAAGCTCGTTCAGGCAGTCTTTGCTTCAGCGGACCCAAAAATGTTGCTGCAGTTGCTGAATATGCTGATAAGTAGTTAGTCGATTTTCTGGTATTTGACTGTAATCTGGTTCTGGAATACTCGGTAGTGGGTGGCCAATCAAGAAGTGCGCCGGAGTGAGACAGGTAAGATCTGATGGATGGGAGGACGCGAGTTTAATATAGATTCAAATTGAACCATTAGAGTATAGAGTTTCTCGAAGGTAAAGGAATTATTACCCATGACTGCGAAGATGGTGCTTGGTGCACCTTATGCCTGCCTCCCATAATCCTCCAAAGTGAGGTGATCTTGCGGGGATAAAGTGCCATGATATGTTTAAATTAGCCGCTTCTGTGATGATATCAGATGCGTTACCTTTCAAAAATTGCGACTTGCTCCTACAAAATTTGTACCTTGATCCGAATATATATCAGATGGTTTTCCGCGTCTAGCTATGGATCTTTTCAATGCCTGCATGAAACATATGCTGTGCTCAGGGAAGTAACTAGTTCCAAATGAGTTGCTTTGGTAGTAAAACAAGTAAATAGCATCCAGCATTTTTCAATCTTGCATCTGCGCCCTCTACGGTCTTTGATCAAAATTGGTCCAGCATAGTCAACGCTTGTTCGTGCGAAAGGAAAAGAAGCCGTAACCCGCGATGCGGGTAAGTTTCCTATTATGGGTTGAACTGTTTTTCCTGCGTACCTGTTGCAGGACACACACTGTCTGACGATCAACTTGGCAATATTTCGTGCTGATATAGGCCAAACAGTATTTCGCACATGGGTGATCATTGCTTGAGGACCTGCATGAAAAAGTTCCTTGTGGGCATCGAGGAAAATTAATTTGGTCAAGTGATGGAAAGAACCTAGCAATAAAGGATGTTTACTATTATAAGGCAGATCTGAGTTTACGAGTCTCCCTGCTACCCGTATAAGACCCTTTTCGTCCATGAAAGGATTCAGGCTTAATATTTTACTTGTGGAGTCAAGCGGCTTTCCACTTTTCAGTTGATTATATTCGATTGGAAAGCACATCATTTGAGCGATGCGAACTATTTTACTGAATGCATCGTTGATTTCAGGATTAGTCAAATCCGATTTTATTCGCTCTGAGGAAGCCTTTTGACAATTGGATAAGAATCTGACTAAGTAAGCGAATGAGCGCTTGAGGCGTTTAAGATTAGAGAATCTGTCAAACGGAAAGAAAGTAGGATCCAACATTACCTTGAATGTCTTTCGCAATTCTGGCAAATCTACAGGAGTAGAATAATGTGAACTTGGCCAGTGAGTTTCGTCACGTTGAAGCCAAGCTGGCCCGTGCCACCAAAGCTGCGTTTTTGTTTAAACTCTGATTTGACCTTGCTTGTATCTGCAAATGAAGATGACTAGGATTTATATTCTAGCGTTTCTAGATCATCCGCTTTGTCTCTCAAGAAAAGTTTGAAATCCTGAAGAGATGGCTTCCGATTAGGAAACCGTACCCTTTTCCATGCTTGCGAAGTAGCATTGTCAAGTTTTTCACTCACTATGTGTATAAGCAAGGTGTCCCATGACCTGACTGGTTCACCTAGCTTTTTCAAACAGACAAATGCTTGGAAAGACTGTCACTCAAGGTTCTGAGCCCATGTGATGACTCTTTATGCAATGAATTTAGATTCAAAATGGCTTTAATGTGATTGTAAACTAGAATACGCTCATCTTTGAACCTCTCACACAATGTCTGCCATGCAACATCATAGTTTTCTGCACAAAAATCTAAATTTTCAATAACTTGCTTTGCTGCACCCTCTAGTGATGCTCGCAGATAATGACACTTTTGAATTTTGCTAAGTCTCTCTTTTTCGTGAATAAAAGATGCAAAGCTATCGCGAAAACCCATCCAATTGATGAAGTTTCTATCAAACATTGGCAACTTAATCACTGGCAAGCTCACCTCTATTTGCTCTTGTGAAAGATTATGAGAAAAGTTGTTTGCTATCATAGAATTATGAGCAGACTGCACATCAGGCTTTGTTAAGTCCTCATATAATGCAAGAGCTCTTGCATTTATCATAAAATATTTATTTTCAAAATCTATGCAGTAATCACTGTGTTCAACTGAATCTGATTCCGAACTCATCATAGACTTAGCTAAATTTATCAAATCTCTGCTGTAATTCTATGATGCGAACTCGGCTTACATCGTTTGCTGCTATATCAAGTTCAAAATTGTTTAAATACTTTTCGAAATTTATTAACTTTGCTCGTAGAGTACCTCGTTTTTTTAACACTTCAATGTCTGTTTGAGCCATGGCTATGCTATGTAAATGCCAAATAGATTTGCTATATATATATTTATATATATATATATCAATGATAAACAATGATTGTATTATAAATGCTAATAAATCGTGACACTCTGCTATATAACAACGCTAAGATAGAAAATTTGCTATATCTTTGCTATATCTCATATATGCTAAAGATTCACACCAAAAACTGTACGTTTTTCGCTCATAAGGATGGGTAAATACCTGGGGGAAATGTCTCATCCTTGTCTGGTGTCTAGGTGCGCTGCTGCGATGTCTTTGGTCGTCCGCGTGGTCGGCAAATGGTGGCTCTGGCTGCACAGCGGCGACGAAATAAATGCAATTATGAATCGCTCAATTCTTCTCCCATCCGGCTCGAAGGACCATGTAACGATGTAAGGGTGGACTGTATTGGGTGCTTCTATGTTGTGAACACTTACTCGGGTTAATCGGTAACTTTATTCTCAATGAACATTAAAGAATTCTGCTTACAATTTTATGTGTGTGCATTGTTTCACGGACGGCGAAGGAAAGAGGAGGCCGGTCGGCCTGGCTCGACGTTGCCACGTTGTTCCGTTCTTCGGATGTCTTCTGGTTCTCAACAATAATTTTAACATGTATTGACCTCCATCACGAGTTTTAGTTCAAGCAAGTCGAAAAACAACTTGAAAGAATTAAAAAAATTGTTGGACAGAACACAGTTTGATTGTCTCTAGTGGAACAAATGCAATTTGAATGTCATTGTCCAGTTAACAAAAATGAAAAAATGTGTTTCATTTAAAAAAAAGGCTTCTATTGAAACATTATCATGAAACCAAACAAAATTTGTAAGCATTATAATAGTATTAGAAGTAAACGATGTTATTTTTAAATAATTTCATTATCATCATCCTCAGCGCATCCACAAGCATCTTCGTCATTTTCGTGCTCTTCATCTTCATTATTACAGTTTGCTACAGTTTTCTCAAATATTTCAGCCATCCATTTCAGCTCTGGGTCTGTTTCATACCATTTGTCACCAAACAATGTAACAAGTAGGTGTTTTAGACTATCAAGCTTTTTCTGCTTTATTTCATGTCCAAGTCGTACTTCGGGAAGTTCGATTTGATCGAACCGCTTTTTAGGTTTCAAAAAAGTTTGACATTTTTTTGCTGGATCATCCGTTCGATACTCGATTTCACCACAATGCCTGAGGGTTTTCCTCGTTTGATGATCATTCTTTTACTTGAGCTAATTCCCAGGACTTTTTCAAACAGATTGAAGCTTGTTTTATATTCATCAATGACCAACCAGTTACAAGTTTTCTGATTTTACCTACTTGTTTGTAAAGTTCCCAATATTTTTCAGGTGTTTTTATAATCGCGTGTCATCTTAAAATCCTCCCCACCCTCAGAAAAGTTCTATCTGCCTGAAGATAAGAGTGTCCTCGCACTGGGAAGAGCTTCTATTTTTTTGATCGTTTCTGGAGCAAAGCTGTATAACCATAACATTAGCATGTAGATGGTAAAGCTATTTTTATTTTGCCCCCGCATCCATCAGAGAAGAGCCAAAGAGTGTCTATATTCGGGGCAAAATCGGTCTTTTTCAAAAAATCAAGCAGGGCCGAAGATATTTCTGTCGCTTGCCTGCCAGCTTGATGTTCCATCCACGAATAAAAAACTGAGTGGACTTAAATCAGTTTGTTTGTCTAGGTATTATTTCCCCCCTTATAACAAATTCAAATGTTCATGAAGAGTTAGTATTTCATCATAGGAATGCAGCGCCACGTCTATCTCAAATATGGACAGTAATTCTATATGGTGTTTCTTGTTTTCCTCTGTGATGAGGTTTGGAAAATCACACTTAGGGACTGAGACAGGAATGTGTTTAGTTTGACCCCGTCTCGAAAAGTTCATTTCATGAAAGGGAGAGCTGTGACTCAAAGAAGTTTCATAATAAAATGTTCCTTTCTTTTTTCAAATCTTTCACATTTTTCCAACAAAATGTTTTCCATCCTCATCTCTTTTCTTTACTTGACATACTTCTTGAGCAGGTCTTAGAAATTATAAAAATGTTCACTGTCCATCTCGATAACTTTGAATTTATTATTTGCCTGTCCACATAACCGCACTAACTGAAACCAATCACGTGGATGATTTATTGGATATTCATACTTCTTTTTCTTTCTCTCAATAACGGAATCATCGGAGTCACACTCCATATGAGTGTGACCGGGAAGCGTAAATCCATCCTCCCTCACAATACAACCATACTTGCGTTATGACATGGTTGTACTCGCATCGACAATGGACTAGTAAACGCTTGCCGTATTTCTGACAAACCCCAGTGCATTTCAACCAACAAGTGGAGTACGCATTACTGCAAAACTCTAACGGCTATTTTCTGGGCACACTTTTACGATGTTGGGTGGTAAAGGGAAGCTTAAGCTCTAAAATTGGACGTACATGAATTAATTTCAAAAGGATGATCATAAATACGATCTGGAAAATATTTAAAAGCAATTTCTGGATTGATCAGGATGGATGATGCACCAGTATCGATTAAGATGATAAGATTAAACTGTGAACTAAAAATATACGGAAGATGAGTTTTTTAATAATTATTTATATCTAAGTCAAATTTTGGCTCGTCGAAGGAAAATTTTCTTCGTCATTGTTTTCAAAATAAGATTCATCAGAGATATAGTCTGCATCGAAATCTTGGGTATATTCTTCAGATTCATATTGTGGCGTTTCTGCAAAAGTTTGTTCGTCCTCATTTTCAAGATGAGTAATTTCTTCGACAAAATAATGGTTTGGTGTGGGACCTACTTGAAAAGCATTAACTCTAGTGGGCATTTGATATGGGTTTTGTTGGGGTTTCGGTGTGCGTGCTGTAGATACAGACATTGGTGTAGGATTAAATTGTTGTTGGCCTGGAATGGGTTTTTTAGAAAAAACATTTTGGGGTGGTCTGAAAGCTTGAATGCTCGTGGGATAATAAGGTTTGAAATTTTTTCTAGGTGATGGTAGTTGCATAGGACCTGTAGGGAAGATTTGTTGTGGCTCTAACCGAGTTTGACTATTTTGGGCTCTAAACTGATTGGGCTTTTGAGAAACATTAAAATTAGACCTTTGGAAATTTTGATTTGAAGCTTGTACTTTATTCTGCGACTGAGGCTGTTATCGTTTATATAGGCTCGTTCTTAAGAAATTTTTATAATCAACTTGCATTTGCAAATTATCATAATCACGACAATATTGAACTCAAGAATCAATTGTAGTAGGATTTTGCTGTCTTACATAAGCATGGTTCATTCAAACCAGAGATAAATTAGCTTAAAGACTGTCTATCATAGTCTCTCAATTTAAAAGTGACATGATCAGGATTATCATGGTATTCTAAATTTGCAAATTCTTTCAGGCTCTGTACCTTAAATTTAATTTCTTGGTAAAGTCTTCATATTTTTGGTTAGGTTTCTGAACTGACGTGTATAAGGCGGCGAGAAGAGTTTCTTCATTTCTAGGATCTTTATGTCTGGATAATAATAGTGATTTTAAATCTGGCCAAGTTATCGGACTAGTTAGATGCACTAAATCTCTTACTTCGATTTTCAGCCGGGAAAAAAATTTTGCAATACACTTTTCTGAATTATCCAAAAAATAAATAAAATCTCTGTGACCTCCATGATATTCTGGTACCATATATTTAGCTACATTAAATTTAATTTGTAAATCTTGACGAGACATGGTTGACTGATTCAAATTAAGTACGTGAGGGTGTCAAAATAACTTGTCTAACAGGTATATTTTCGACTACAGATTCAAATTAAGAATCTTGGAATATGCAACGTCACCGGAAGAATATTTGAGACCATGGAAATTCTTCTCCAAGTACGCAGCAGTTTTCTTGTCTTTATTACTTAATGTAGAAAAAGGTTGCGGAGGTGTAAAGATGTAATGACTCCGCTTGAAACCAATTTCGATATATAGTTCTTTAGGTACGAATAATCCGTCAACTGAGCTTTTTTTTTTTTTTTTTTTTTTATTTAGCATACCGCTTCGACCTAAAGGTCATTAGCGGGGAGTAGGTTAAATTTTGTACATAAATCTAGATGCTTTAAGAAAATTGGAAATGTTTATAATATTACACTGTGGTCCTATAATGTCAGCCAGTGTTCCGTTTAGTTTATACATAAACCTATATACTTCTAGCACTGGGCACTCAATTAGTAGGTGTTTCACTGTTAACTGCACGTCACAGATTTCACATAGGGGCACAGGTTCTTGAGACAGCAGGTATCCGTGGGTAGCTCGTGTGTGTCCTAGCCTTAGTCGTGTGATGATGGTCTGGATTTTGCGGTTGTTGGTGACGGTTTGCCATGGCATCAACTTAGACTTGAGTTCAAGTAATTTGGATGGTTTACTCTGCCACAGATTGTTCCAGTTCTGGATGATTTTCGATTTTAAATGAGCCCTTACATCATACTCTGGTACTTTGACAATATATCTAGTAGCGTTGTTGGCAGCGTCTTTTGCTTTGCGATCTGCTAGCTCATTTCCTGGAATTCCAACGTGTGATGGAACCCATAGGAAAACAATTCTTTTGTGCATTGCAATATCTTTCATTTCATCCCGAATTCTTTGAGCTATGGCGTTCTTGCTGTACATAGTGCTAATTAACTTAAGCGAATTCAATGAGTCGGATATAATTAACCAATTATTTGCGGAGTTACCTTTAATATACTTGATGGCTTCAAATATTGCATAGAGTTCACCCGTAAGGACTGTGGCTGTCTCTGGCAGCTTACATTCTATAATGGATGTTGGTGTTATGACTGCAGCGCCAACGTGCATTTGTAATTTTGAGGCATCTGTATATATTTCACTGTAGTTACCATATTGATTGCGGATTTCTGAGAATTTCTGGTATATAATTTCTTTTGGTGTTTCCTCTTTGCATAGTTTTGTCAGTGTGCTGTTGATAACAGGTATCTGAATGCTCCAAGGTGGGTTAGTTGTCTGAGTGGTGGTGATAGTAGGAGGAAGTACAGGC